TACTGGTTATTCTTGCAGAAGACCTGGGTTCAAATCCCAGTACCCACATGGCAGCTAACAACTGTCCACAACTCCAGTCCCAGGGGATCCAACAGCCTCTTCTGACTTCCACGGGCATTGCACAACACAGGTGCACTTTCCTACATGCAGGAAATACACTCATACACATAAAAATAATAAACAAAATATTTTTTTAAAAAAACTTCCGTAGCAGACTAGTTCTATTAAAAAAAAAAAAATCAAAGAGTATTTAATCCTTAATGATGTATATAAACTTAATAAACTTTTCTTCCTAGCATTAAATTTTGGCCTTCAAATACAAGCAGGAGTAACTAAGAAACAGGTGTTCAAAAACTTTAACAGCCTCATATTTGCTTTATTTGACAACCAGACTATGCAAAATAATACATATTGCTTTGTCCATAATGAATACATAATTTAAAACTTAAGAAAATGCAAAGACCTTTTTAAGTTCTATATTTGACCTTAAAGAATATGTCTCCATTTCATTGGCCAAGTGGTCAGAAAGGCTATATGGATAAGGTATGCCAAAGTAATCAGCCTCTTCCTGCAGGGCAGCTCTGGTCTGCTCGTCCTCAGGGATCTGAATTTCTCCATGAAGATAATCCAAAAGAAATTTAAATAGATGTCCATCACGGTCAATAACACAAGCACCTAGAAAAGAGTCCAAAAATTATTGCAGAGATTCCTGTGATGACCAATAAAACTGACAAGTCAAAGCAGGTCTGACAACCTCTATACTTATATTTCTTTCTTGCAACAAAGTTAACATCTAGTGTGGAAATAGGTTTAGTCAATCAAATCAAGCTAGACTTAGCAACTCTCAACTAAGAAGCAGAAAATATCCTAAAAATTGAATTTGAGTGGGTTATTTGGTGGAAAACATCTGTATTTCTAGAACAGTGCACATAAATCTGAATACAAACAGATTACCACCAGTCATCAGGTCTGGTTGGATAGGTGTTCTACATACACAGAAACCAGGCCAAGGGGGCAAGGGAGGCTGAAACCAAGCCTACACTTTGCTCACACAAAGTGTAACCTGCCACAGAACCACATCTTCCTGGATAAACACGTACCCTTGTCTGATTTGCACAAAGAAACTGTGTGGTGGGGCCAATGCAATTTCACCACCTACATGCTAAAATGTATTCCAAGATCTACTTGGAGCTTCAGATGCAATCACTATATTCCAGCTATGGCCAACTGAAAAATCTTAGACTTCTGGTAAAAAAAGACGTTTACTACTAACCTCAGCCCAATGAAACCAGGGCAGGCATGTGAAGGAGTTGTTCCATAAAGCTGTGGTGTGCTTGTCACTATGTCTATTGTTTGAATGTCAGCAACACTACAAGTCTGGGGTTTCCAGCTCTAGGTATGTCTTATGTTGTAATCACTGGGGTTACTCCTTTTGGAATGTGAGACTCTACATTTGAAAGAATGAAGGGGGGAGGGGGAGGGAAAGTGGGGGTGGAAGGGAAGGGAAGGGAAGGAAGGAGGGGAGGGGGAGGAAGGGAAGGGAAGGGAAAAGAAAATGAAAGAAAAAGGCACGCTGTGGAGAGTGGTCACACACACCTGTAATTCCCAGCACTCAGGAGGCTAAGACATGAGGACTGCTGTGAGTTTGAGGCCAACCTGAGCCACAAAGTGAGATCCTATCTCCAAAACAAAACCAAAATAAACAATATTTTAAAATAATAAGAAATATTATGTTAGCATTGCTTCTGATAAAAGATTTAGGATAATTGAGCAGAAATGAAAAAAAGCTCTGGCATAAATGTTATTAAGCAGTCCATCCCCTATCCAACTCCCTTCTCTTTCTCTTGTGGTAAGGGACACTGATCCTTCTCGCTTGGTAAGTTTAGAAAAGAAGTATTAGTGAGGAAAAATCTGGGGGCAGAGAACAAATCTCTGCTTCCCATCTTCTCACCAACATTCTGTCTGGTGGAGTCAAGCCTTAGATCCCAGTCATCAGTGATTTTTTTTTTTTTTTCCATGCTTTCAACCGCCACATAACTAACAAGGCACCCCCCTAAAACCCTCCCCATGCCTTGGCTCTTCCCTTCCCTCTTTTCTTATCAGTGATTTTTTTTTTTTTTTTCCATGCTTTCAACTGCCACATAACTGACAAGGCAACCTCCTAAGACCCTTCTCATGCTCTGGATCTCTCCATCCCTCTCTTCTAACACAGAACCCCTCCGCACCTCCAAGGGTTCTGGGATCACATACACAGTGCAAAAATATAGTGCAAACAGCCTCTCTTGGGAGGATGACGATTCCTCACAAGCCATAGTAGTTTAGTGAGTCTCACAGTACTTAAAGCAAAGAGAGCAGCCCCAGAACCTTACCCTTTATGATCTAATTTGTTCAGAAGCACTAATTTTGGTCCTCTGCCACTGAATGGCCCCAGTGACCCTGCCATTTTTCAGCTATGCATGTCAGTTCACACAAGACTACACAGCTAGACCAAGAGTGAAGTACAAACACTAATTCTAGAGCTGCTTTGTCAGCTTTAATAGCTGCTTCCACAGAGAAATACTTTTTCTAACTTGATGAACACAGAAAAGCTAATATATTTAATCAGCTTCACCCATAATGTCACATGGAGGTAACGACTTTCCAAATAGAGTTAAGCCCCATAATGAGGTCATGGTTGTCCTTTACATGCTCTCACTTCCTTTTCAACTTTTATCAATAGTATCACAGATTTTTAGAAACTGGTATTTAATTTCTCTATGTACTTAATGAATCTCCATACAGTCCTAACGAGCTCAGTAATTAGTAGGTTAATCTAATACATTCCAATGTAATGAGGAAAATCAAAAGAATTTAAAATAGACTCTAATGAATATTCACATTCTTGCTTCCAGACTTTAGACATTTACCTGATTCATCTGTTTTTAGAGGAAAGCGACCACTAAACATAGCCGCCAGCATAGAATCCTTAAAGCGGCACAAAGACTCACGCCGGGCAGTGTAAACGTAGCCACCCACATTCAGCCGGAGAATATCTAGCACCTCTTCTGCTTTGTGGTCTGCCATCGCTCCCTTGGACATCTGAAGTTTTCCCTTAGCTTTCAGAAACTTCTAACAATGGCAGTCCCAGACCTATTCTGTAAGAGCAAAGGACAAAGATCACTGACATTCCTGACAATAAATGGATAGGAAAAAATGTATTTTAATATGATTTAAATAGATTCCTCAGAAGTGAATGCTGAGCTGAAAGATTTCATACGATAAGAAAGTCATCTGAGATATGCTAAGAAGCTAGAAAACTAGCTTTGAGTCCTTGTAGTATATAATTATAAATTGCAGCTATTAAAATGACTGAAGAATTAAACAAGATAATGCATGGTCAGTCATGTACAAAGCAAAAATAAGGCATGCTTGGGATCTTCGGCAGCCATACATACACACATACACACACACACACACACACACAATTATGTGTAGGAGTGTATTGCTTGCATGTATTAAAGTGCATCTGTGTCGTATAATGCTCGCAGACAACAGAAGAGGGCATTGGATCCCCTGGAACTTGAGTTATGGACAGTAGTTACCAGCAAAGTGGGTGCTGGGATTCAAACTAGTTCTTCTACAAGAACAGCCAGTGCTCTTACCTCTGAGCCATTTCTCCAGCCCTGGTCATATATATTTTTAATGGTCTGAAGCAACCATCTAGACTGCAGAGATCAGTGTGTAGCATATAATGAAGCTGCTAGGCTTTAGCACTTACTACCTCTGGGTCCTCGGGTAAATTGCTTAGCTTCCTCTCTTTGTTTCCTTATCTATAAAATGGAGGTAGTAATGGTCCAAAGACCATCAGAGGAATAATTAACATAACATATAAAGCATGTGGAACAGTCTGTGGCTCAGACTAAATATGCAGTAAGTGACAAATTATATATAATGATACAAATTTACCATCTAAGGTATATACTAAGGAATCGCAAAGTAACTTTGGAGAGTTAAGAAACCAGGATAGAAATTAAGAATGAGAACTGTGATTTTTAAGTAATATACCATTTATTAACTGAGATCAGACTTCCCTATATATACCAGTAGCCAGATTATTCTAGATCTATAAATGACACTTCAGTCATCCAGCTCTTTCATTCTACACTAGCAGAAGGGGAAGTTTTTAAGTTTGATTTCCTGGGGCTGAAGAGATGACTCGGTGGTTAAGCGCACTTGCTACTCTTGCAGAGGACCTGGGTTCTGTAACTCCAGTTCCAGAAGACCCGAACTCCTCTTCTGGCCTTTGCAGTCACCAGCCATGCACATGGCACACATACATACATGCAGACAAACACCAATAAACATAAAATAAAAATAAATCTATCTTTAAAAAAAATTTTTTTTTTTAATTTGATTTCTTAACACATTCTGGAGATTGTTAACCACAAGTGACTGTGGAATCTGTGTGGAATCTGAAATGGTACAAAACTGAACAAAGGTTAACTTTTTACCATTGAGAATCTGCAGCATTATACATTACCTAGCAAGTTTTAAAATGGCTGCCAAAGGCTCAGCTACATCCACAACAATTCCCTTTTACTAACTAATCAACTAAAATCCTTCCCAAGATGCACCATTTTCAACAGACACCAATAAAAGGGGAGGAGACCATTAGAATCTGAGGAAGGCCAGCAGACAGAAACCATTAGAGACCCAAGGTCCAGTCTTCCAAAATCCCTTTTTGATGTGGCCTCTTACTGCATCAAAGTCCTGGGAGCAATATTCAAACCAACCATGAGGCATGACATAGAAGTCGTTCAGACTGTCCCAGTTACCAGGCCCCTGGAATCCTAGTTTTCAAGGCCCTGAGTAGGTCTCATTTCTTGTACAACCCTGTCATATACTATGCCCAGTTAGATCTTATCCCACCTGTTTAATCTCTCTCTCTCCCTCTCCCCCCCCCCCCCCCCACCCCCGGCCTGTAAGCCAGAGAAAGGCCAGGGCACTGCCATTCTTAATAATTCTCATTTACTGAAAGCTTATTATGTGCCAGTCACTGTAACGAGACCCTAGACAGATATTACCTAATTCACATAAAAGTTTTATCAGACAAGAATTACTATCCCTATTGACTGATGAGAGGGTAAAAAGAAAAATCAAGTGGTATGTGCAGGAGGCAAACACACTTGCCTGCTAGCTGGTAGTGGACCCAACCACAACCCAGGGAGGCCAGATGAAGCTGAGGCTGACTTCAGGTGAGCCTGGGTGCACCCCGCAATCCTTTAGGGCTTCTGGCCTAAGCCCTTGATTCACTAACAGCTGCCATCTGAACATGATGCCCACAGGAGCCCAGGAGCACCGAGTTCAAGAGCTAAGAGCGACTCTCACACCTCACCCAGGCAGTCTCTCCTAAAGCAGTGGGCCCTCCTCAGCACAAGGCCAGCCCTGTGATGACTCCATCCTCAGAGGCACCCACTTAAGCTTCCTGATGGTGGAAAGTGCCGGCCCCTTGAGGGCTGGTTCCCCCTAGGGTGGTCGCAGATCATCTACATACACCAAAACCATCAGGGACGCCTGAAAATGCAGAGTCCCGGGCCACAACACGGCCTAATTTAGAAAGTCAGAGGAGATAGGCCGGCCGACTCCACTAGGAGAAACAGAGGCTCACGCCCTCGCACAGCCAGAAGACACCGGAAGCGTGGGATCAGAAAGCCCCGCCCGGATTCTCCGTGGCCCGGGTACCCCATTGGGCCCCACGCCGGAGCCCGCAACCCGCGGTGTCGTCAGCGCGGCCAGGGCCTCTCTTGGGATGCTCCACGTGCTGCAGGGCCCGCAACCCACCCGACGCGCGGTTCGTCCACACTGACAGGCGGAGCCGCGACCTCAAGACTGACCTGCGGCCGCCCGGCCCTCGGCACAGCCGCCGGACGCCGTAGGGCCGGACGCGGAAGTAAGCAGACGCCTTCTGGGACGCCCGGCAATTCGTGGAGCAGAGTGGCGCAGCGGCACCCCCGTGCGGCCTTGCTGCGCAGTACGGCAGAAGGAAGGGCGGCCCTGCCCCGAGTACGCCCCGCCCCCGGGATGGCGGTGGCCACGCCCCCTGCGGGGCTGGGTCCCATTCCTGAGGCCTGTGGGAAGGGCAAAGCTTTTTCACACAATATTCTTTAGTCTGTGACAACTCTGTAGAAGACGATAGTTGTTGCTTTTTAAATATACTTTATTCTTTGAGAATTTCATACATCAGAATAAGGTAGTAGTTCTTGATACAGGAAGGAAAATTGAGTCAGGAGCAAAACATTCATTGAACACTCTTGTACACGTGACAAGTGTAAGTCCCTGGCAGAACTACTTAATTTCCTCCTCATAAACCTCCAAAGTTCTTTTATCCTCCACTACTTGGTGCACAGAACAGTGCTAGGTATTTGGAGATGAATAAAACGCAGTCCTGTTTTCCACTCCATTCCAGAGTACATACTAACTGGTTCTTAATTCCTCTCCCTGAATCTTGGAAATTAGAAGCAAAGCTGCCTGCCCTTCAGATGTGAATGATCAGTCTTAAGAGACAGGAAAGATTTATTCAAGCTGTAATTTTTTTTCACCAGATAGAGAGGAGGCCCGGAGAGTGAAGAGCTGTTCAAGACACTGTCACTGACCAATTCAGTTTACATTTTAGTACAGTGATGTATTAGTTACATTTCATCATTGTAAGCAGAAAATCTGACAGGAACAACTTAGGGGAGAGATGATTTATTTGTTTTGGATCAGGGTTTTAGAGGTGTTAATTCATCAGAGCATGAACCATATGGCAGAGTAGTTCACTCTATGGAGGGGTCAGGAAGCAAAGAAACAGGAATGCTGCTGCTCTGCTGGCTTTCCTTTTACCCTTTTATTCTGTCAGAGGTCCTAGCCCCTGGGATGATGCCACCCACATTCAGTGAGTCTTCCCCTAAGGGCTAATCTCTCTCTCTCTCTTTTTAATATTTTATTATTTTTATTTTATGTGTATGAGTATATTGCCTACATGTATGTGAGTGCACCCATGTCATGCAGTGCCACAGAGGTCAGAAGAGTGCTTCGGATTCCCCTGGAACTGGAGTTAGGGACGGTTCGTAGCCACCATGTGGGTGCTGCAAATCAAACCTGCATCCTCTTTAAGAGCAGTGAGTGCTCTTAAACACTGAGCGATCTCTCCAGCCCCAGGTTAATCCTCTCTTGAAGTGCCCACCTAGATACAAGCACAGGTTTGCCTCACCAGTCTCCTAGGTGATTCTAAATCCAGTCAAGTTGACTATTAAGAGATTAAGCATCAAAGCTGTCAGAAAACATTTTTCTGTAAATATTTTAAGCATGGTGAACCACATACAACTGATCAACTTGGCTAATGTGATTTGAAAGCAGACACAGACAATACAAAAATGAATAGCATTGTTGTGTTCCAACTTTATTATGGACACTGAAATTGAATTTCATATCTCATGGGTCATGAACTATTCTTAAAATGAAGGGGGGTTTCCTAACATACATAACATCTATTCTTAGATCATGGGCTATAGGAATCCAAAATAACAGCCTGTGGGCCTTAACTGCCTTCCTGTTTTCAAATGGGAGAAATGGGCACCAATCAAAATACTAACAGAGAGAGCTAGCTACCTCAATAGCTCAAAGAGCCAAGACATGTTGAGTGGACATCATAGTTTAGATGGAGAAGTCCTCACTGACAAGGGGAACTTTAAGTCGACAGCTAAAAATGAAAACAAGCCCACTTTCTGAAGAGATTCAGGAATAATATTTTAGGGAAGAGAATGAGCAAGTGGAAAGGCCTTAGGGTACAAAAGGCCTTGGCAATTTGTAGAAAGGGAAAGGAAACTAGTATATCTGAAGCTTTACAGGTATTGGGATATGGGGGAAGGCAAAAGGAGATAAAAGATGAAGAGTTCGAAGCCAAACTAACATTTTTAGTTTTGAGAGAGGTGCTTGATATGTAGATTAGGCTAGGCTGGAGTTTCTTGCCCTCCTGCCTCAGCCTGCATGCTGGGATTACATATATGCACTACAACACCCATCTTTGAAGTCAGATTTCAAAATATCTTGTGGCTGTATTAAGCCACAAGAATTTAGAATTTAAATCTTACTCTAAGCTAATGAGGGACCATTGACAGGGCTTAAGCAGGGAAGTAACATGACAGATTTTGCGTGTATGTGTGTATGTGTGTCAATCACTCTGGCTACTAAAATAACAAATTGAAAAGATATAAAGTGGAAGTAATAATACAGGGGAGAAAGGTAATACCTTCTACATGAGTTGTGATGTCTATAGAGAGAATTCTTTAGATGCATGCATGTAATTAGGAAAAAGAAATGACATAAAATCTACTAGCGAATCAACCATGATATTTCAGTTGAGGTCCTCTGAGAAAACAGCAGACAACATGAACAAATCAGATATGCAAGAGATTTATTGAGGAAGCACCTATGAGGGAATAATGAATGGGCATCTAAGAGGAACTGGAAGAGATGTTAAACTAGATGCAAGTGTAATCCCTGTGGAGACCAAGAAAGGAATGGTAGAAAAATTGTACTTGCGATGCATTTCTAAGAATGTTTTAAACTTGTAATCATTCTTAGAATGTTCTATGATTGCAAGTGGCTCACACTTGTAATCACAGATTTGGGGAGGCTGAGAAAAGAGGATTGCCCTTAAGTTTGAGGCCAGCCTGAGCTACATGGTTCCAGGCCAGGTTAGGCTATGGTGTGATAGTAAATTAATTTAAAAAAGAAAGTTTCAACAAAACACAGTCACAAGAATTTAAACCAAAGTTCTCCCATCAGAAGCGTTCTACCTATGTCTCCCAAGAATAGGCTTGCCTTAGTATCCCTGCAACATTCATTTTTGGGAATCGGTCTGTAGGAGGTGCTACAGCATGGAACACTGATAGATTTCAGAGCACAGTGGCTGGGAAAGTCAACAGTGCTCCCTCTAATTGAAGATCAGAGGGCTGCATCTTCATAATTGCCACACATAAAAACTAAAGGAAAGGGGATTGACTCTAAGTTGGAGTAAGATTCAGATGTTTAGCAGACACACAAGTGGAGAAATGGCAATTGAATATATCCAGAGCTCAAGAGTGAAGTTCTGTGACAAAGGTGTACATTTGAATGATACAAGCACTAAAGCCATGGAACTGGATGAAATCACCTGCAGAAAAGACAGATAAGTTGGGTCAGGATAATGCATGAAGTTCAACATTAAGAGATCAGGTTTACAAGAAAAGGTCATGAAGGAGGGAAACGAAAAGAAAATGGAGTCATAAGATCCAAGAAAGCAGAGTACCACTTACTATTATCAAATTCCACTAAAGTCCATTAGAGTTGGTAATGTGGGAATTTTTGGTAACTTTGACAATTGCAATTTTAATACTGGGAAGAGGCTAAGAACTCAGCAGACAGCCTAAGACCACCTGATCTGGCCTCCACCTGGTGTAGGGACTGAGAACTCAGCAGACTGCATGAACTCCCCTCCTGAACTTCTCAAATTGTGCTCTGAGTATAGCCTAATAGGGGCCCAAATGTTACAAAGAAACCTGAGTGTTCCTGACTGAAGCCTGACTTGGGCCTCTGTGGGAGCTCCTGAGTAGCTGATCTGAAGCCATCATTTCCCTACAAAATAAAGTCTGAAAGAACCTGAAACCTAGACCAAGCAGCTTTACATACCCAATAAGAAAACAACCAGGGCACACCAATAATACAAACAGAAGCAGACTTCAACTCAACAAAGGAAGACTTGAGTGTCATACCAGAACCACAAACAACAAAATAATTCCACATGCTAAAACTTCAATAGAAAAATATTAATAAGGAAAACCAAAACAGCATGTTCCACCAAACCCCACCAGTCCTGTAGAAGAGTTCTACAGGAGAACCCCCTAGAGATAACCCAGGACACCGAATTTAAAAGAACAATCATAAACATGATCAAGGAATTCAACAAATTTAAAGAACACACAAACAAATGGAAGAACTAAAAGAAGAAAGAGATAAACCTCTGAATGAATTCACAAAAGAGATAGAAACATTGAAGAAAACTCAGGCTGAAATGAAGAAGGAAGTGAAAAACTCAGTAAGCCAATTTGCTATAGGAGAAAGCCTCACTGCTAGAATGAATGAAATGGAAAACAGAATATCAACACTGGAGGATAAAGTTGAAGAATTGGACTGCTCGAGCAAAGATTATGAAAAATTTTTGAAAACACAGGAATGGAATTTGCAGGAGATGTGGGACACCATGAAAAGACCAAATCTACATATTACAGGCATAGATGAAGGAAAAGAATTTCAGGTTAACGGTATTGACCAGATCTTAACCAAGATTGTAGAAGAGAACTTCCTAAAATTAAGGAAATACATTCCCCATACAGATGCAAGAAGCACATAGAACACCAAATAGACAGAAACAGAAAAGAAATTCCCCATGGCATATCATAGTAAAAACACTAACTGTGCAGAACAAAGAGAGAATACTGAAAGTTGCAAAAGAAAAACAACTCACATATAAAAGAAAACTCATCAGAATTACTGCTGATTTAGCAATACAAACTATGAAAGCCAGAAGAGCCTAGACCAAGGTATTTCCAATTTTAAATGATCATAGATGCCAACCCAGAATACTTTATTCAGCAAAAATGTCTATTATAGTTGAAGGGGAAAGAAAAATCTTCCATGACACTAATAGGCTGAAAGAATACATGGCCACAAAACAGTCCTTCAAAGAATACTCGAAGGAATATAAAGAATGAAGAAAGGAACAGCTATTCTTCAGGGGCAAGAGAAAGA